GCATTCATAAAATCGCCATAACTTTTGAACGAATTGTGATTTTTGAAAGATTTAAACGGTTATCAGCAGGTCAGAACTCACTGCTTCTCTGTGTGCAACAATAAAATTTAAATCCTTCTCAGAAATAGGAAAAATTTCCTCACAAATAATGTCAAGCATTATTAGAAAGCTTTCTAGGCAATTTTCGTGGCATAATAAATTCTCCATCGAAAGAAAACTCTTGAAGCTTTAAAGAACCGTTTGAATTTTCCAAATATCACAATTCGCTCCAAAGTTATTTGCATTTTACCAATACCTTGATTTGCCCTTACGACCTGTCAATTTTGCGACTGGGGCGCCATCTATTGGTGCAGTAGACCCAAATGACCGAAACTAAAAAACTTAAGGTTCACTTCAATCTGCAATAACTTTTGAACTACTTGGAGTATTGGAATAAAATGGGTATCATATGAAAGCTAAGGACTCTAGCTTTTTCGTTATTTGCTTAAAAAATAATAGATATAAAATTTTCTATATGAAAAACTTCTTTAAAAAATATCTTTAAAAATTACAATATTAAATATTGGTTTGAAATAAAATGTATCGATACTATAATAAAGACAACATTTTGCCCTTTAATATGACACCCTATTTGTTGTAATTGAGCCGGTCGTTAAAAAGTTACAGGCAAAGGAAGAGAAATCTATGTTTGACCCTTGAAATATTCTTTAAAAAATCCACGCCTATTTTGAACCTTGAAAAAGTTATTCTTTAAAAAATCCACGCCTATTTCGAGCCTTGAAAAAATTATTCTTTAAAAAATCTACGCCTATTTTGAACCTTGAAAAAGTTATTCTTTAAAAAATCCACGCCTATTTCGAGCCTTGAAAAAATTATTCTTTAAAAAATCTACGCCTATTTCGAGCCTTGAAAAAATATTCTTTAAAAAATCCACGCCTATATTGACCCTTGAAAAAATATTCTTTAAAAAATCCACGCCTATATTGACCCTTGAAAAAATATTCTTTAAAAAATCCACGCCTATATTGACCCTTGAAAAAATATTCTTTAAAAAATCCACGCCTATATTGACCCTTGAAAAAATATTCTTTAAAAAATCCACGCCTATATTGACCCTTGAAAAAATATTCTTTAAAAAATCCACGCCTATATTGACCCTTGAAAAAATATTCTTTAAAAAATCCACGCCTATATTGACCCTTGAAAAAATATTCTTTAAAAAATCCACGCCTATATTGACCCTTGAAAAAATATTCTTTAAAAAATCCACGCCTATATTGACCCTTGAAAAAATATTCTTTAAAAAATCCACGCCTATATTGACCCTTGAAAAAAATATTCTTTAAAAAATCCACGCCTATTTTGACCCTTGAAAAAATATTCTTTAAAAAATCCACGCCTATATTGACCCTTGAAAAAATATTCTTTAAAAAATCCACGCCTATATTGACCCTTGAAAAAAATATTCTTTAAAAAATCCACGCCTATATTGACCCTTGAAAAAATATTCTTTAAAAAATCCACGCCTATATTGACCCTTGAAAAAATATTCTTTAAAAAATCCACGCCTATATTGACCCTTGAAAAAAATATTCTTTAAAAAATCCACGCCTATATTGACCCTTGAAAAAAATATTCTTTAAAAAATCCACGCCTCAAAATGGTCCTTTGAAAAAAATATTCTTTAAAAAATACACGCCTTTTTTGAGCCTTGAAAAAATTATTCTTTAAAAAATCCACGCCTTAAAATGGACCTTGAAAACAATATTCTTAAAAAAATCCACACCTTTTAAAAAATTATTATTTTTAATTTATTTTTCATTGCAGGTTGTTATGAATTCTATATCCTTGGATTTCAGTACGATGCCAATCGAAAACGATCTACAAATAAGTTGAAAATATGACAGGCCCGCCCAGCCCAAAACGATAATTATATCTTTTGGAAATATGCCGTTCTCTCAATCATAAAATTCTACAAGGAAGTACTGCAAAGACCAAATACTGAGCCCAATAAGTCCGTTTAGTTGTTAAGAAAATTAATTTTTAAAACAAATTTTTTGTATATATTTAAAATATATTTAATAAAATTGAAAAAAAAAAATAAAAAAATGTTTGTTTTTATTTACGGATACACACACACAAATACGGTAAGTATGCTCCCCCTGCCCCTATGACGTCACAAATTTTCATTCTTTCAACGTGTGGGTATTTTGCATTTTTTGGGCAAATTTCACAAAAATACCAGGCGCCCAGAATGAAATAGCAAGTAGCCCGCCAAAAAAATAAAAATAAAAAATGTAGAAAAATTTGCATCTGGCAATGCCGTACCAAATATCAAAAATTGTAGCATACTTTTAGGAGCTCGATTTTTTTGCGGGCACCTTGTTATTTTATTCTGGGCGCCTGGTATTTTTGGAAAATTGGACCAAAAATGCCACAACATTTTTGGGATTTATAAAATTCGTTGGGAGGGTGGGAGAGAGGGAGGGAGCAAGGATAGACAGACATGTGATGTCACAACAATTTTTCTTTCACCTGGTGTGTTTTGTGTGCATTTTTTGGGCAAATTTCACAAAAATACCAGGCGCCCAGAATGAAATAGAAAGTAGCCCGCCAAAAAAATAAAAAATGAAATTACAAAATTTGTAGCATACTTTTAGGAGCTCGATTTTTTTTTTTTGCGGGCACCTTACTATTTCATTCTGGGCGCCTGGTATTTTTGTGAAATTTGCACAAAATGCCACAATATTTTTGAGATTTTTTAAATTCATTAGGAGGGAGTTAGCAGACATCTGACGTTACTTTTTTTACAATTAAGTGCTAAGCAGGTAAGAAACCCCCACTAACGGACTTTTAGACGTCCATTAATAAATAAAAAAAACATTTTTAGTATTTGTTTTCAAATCGGTTTATTTGTTTTATTAAAAAAAAAATAATCAATAAATTAAATATATAATGAAAATATGAACTACATACACTACTTAAAGTACTTAATAGTATATTAATAAAATAGTAGTAGCAGTACGGGATAGATTGATGACTGACGTCAGGTTTAAAGTTTGCATTGGGTAATTTTTACTTTCGAAAATTCCTCAAATATACCAGGTATCCAGAACTGGTAGTAGGTACAAAAATAGACTAATTGGCAAACTGCTGGCTTTCAGTTCCATAACTTTCGTAACCGGATTGAAATTCGTGCGGAGCAAAGCATTTTAGGGCTTATATCAGGAAATAGATATAAAAAAATCAACATATCTGCCTTTGGTAGTCCTTGAAGAAACAGGATTTCTATAAAAAAAATTACTAAAGTTAACCATTAGTGGGAGATTTTGTCAAAATAACACAAAAAAGGATTATAGTTGTTTTAGTGCTATAGACAAATTTGAAAATGAAATTTTTTTAAGTAAATATTGGATATACATAATTCTTCGGTTCGGTGACCCATAGTGAAATTTGATGAAGAATTTTTCCTTCTTTAATAGCAAGTCTCTAAAGTGAAGCACAAAGGTAGATTTTAGCTTAGTTTCGGAATACCCGACAGTAACTCGTAAAAATACATCTAAGCTTTTCTGAATTATATATCCAATTTTGTGAGTCAAACTATATACATAAATACTGTATGTACTGATTTTTACTATTCCGTGACCCATAGTGAAATTCGATGAAGAATTTTTCCATCTTTAATACCAAGTCACTAAATTGAATCTCAAAGGGAGATTTTAGGTTAGATTCGAAATAACCGCCAGTAACCCGAAAAAAAATCATTTAAGCTTTTTTGAGTTATATATCCAATGTTGTGAGTCAAATTTTATAAATACTGAATGTACTGATTTTTACTGTTCAGTGACCCATAGTGAAATTTAATGTAGAATATTTGTTCCTTTGATACCAATTACCTACGGTGATTTTTAATGGGTGGTTTTGCCTTCGAACGAAAAATAACCTCAAAAAAGTTAATTTTTAATCACATATATATTATATATGCAGATTTCTTCTAGTCGGTGACCCATAGTTAAATTTAATGAAGAATTTTTCTTTCTTTAGTAGCTTGCCACTAAAGTCGACATAGTGGGAGATTTTGTCTTTTTTCGGAAATAACCAAAAAAATTATGAAAACAAAATTTTTGTAGGTAAATATTGGATATACACAATTCTCCGGTTCGGTGACCCATAATGAAATTTGATGAAGAATTTGTCTTTCTTCAATACCATCTCTCTAAAGTGAACCACAAAGGGAGATTTTAGGTTAGAGTCGAAAAAACAGCAATAACCCGTGACATATTATTTAAGCATTCCTCTGACTTATAACCTATTTTGTGTGTCAAATTTTATACATAAATACTGAAAGTACGGATTTTTACCCTTCAGTGACCCATAGTGAAATTTAATGAAGAATATTTGTTCCTTTTATAGCAATTACCTAGGGAGGCTTTTAATGCGTGATTTTGGCTTCAATCGAAAATAACCTCAAAAAATCAAATAATTGTAATTTATCTGCTCAAATTTGTGTTTGAAAATTCTCACATATCTATTATATATACAGATATCTATTATATATACATAGTGAAATTTTCTTTAATGCCAGTTGGCTTAAACCCATAATAAACAACGTTAAACAACATAACCTCAATATTACATTTAAATGAAAATTTGCAAGTTGAAACACATTTGTAAGTAAAATTTCGTCCATAAATATTATATATACCTATTTCCTTCATTCGGTGACCCATAATGAAATTTGATAGATAACATTTCTTACTTTAATACCAACTCTCTAAATTGAACCCCAATGTGAAATATTGCCTCGAAACAAAAACAACCTAAGATATGTATTTTTTGTTGGCTAACCTATAGAGAAATTTTATATCATAAATCTATTTATTTTCCATCTAAGCAAAAAGCTTATAAAGCATTTGAAAAGCATTAATATAATGTGGTCCTCTGTCTCTCTTTACTTCGCCCTGCTCCTCCTCTTACTCATTCCCCTACACTTTTCGCACCTACTGTTGTGTGCTAAACAAATAACTCAATGTCGTTGGCTGGGCATGGAAACGCACCTGAGCCTCTTCCCATTTGGTGTGTATTAATTTTTGCAGCGGAGTATTTACGGCCAGTTCTTCCTTAATTTCATCTTTATCATCTTTGGGTTTACCCGAGAGAGATGTTGTTTCTGTTGTGGACATTTGCCGTTCGAGCATACCCGTTGCCTGATCATTGTATGAACGATTATCGATTGTCATAAGAATTTCACGACCCGAACAGCTGTAGTAGTAGAGATCGAAACGTGATTCGGCATGATAATTTCGCAAGAGATCGGGGTTACGATTAAACATAACACCAAAGTGCCCGGCGCAGAGGGTTATCCAAATGGGGTAATTGGGTGTTTTGAGACGGGAACCTGGCTGGCGGGCCACCAAGTTGCTCTGGAAGAAATTTGGGGAGGGAAATTAATAAAAAAAAATTAGTTTTTTATTAATTTTGTGTTACTTGACCACTTTCACCCTCCCAGAGCATGAGACCAATGGCACAGCGATTAAGGACTCCATATTGGGGAACGGCCTAAAAAATTAACGAGAAACAATATTTTTCCGATTCTCTTTATATTGAAATGTTTGCTATATGTCCTTCTCCTTACATAACTATTTTCATCGCCCACATTAACCACCCCATTGTGTATATATGGCGTGGCTCTACCAGTCAGCAGCAGGGTCACAATCATCAATGAGCCCTCCTCATTGTTGCTCATGGTTAGCGGGACAGTCTTGGTGGAATCCAAATCGCTGCGAACTCTAAAAAATAAATGGAGGAAGAAATTAGTTGAGATTTTAACATTTTTGAAAAAAAAAATCTACTCACCTTCCCATTGTGCGTGTCAAAACGGCACTGTACAAGAAGAGTAGGGTTCCAGGTGAGGCTTCCTCGGTAAACTTTGTAATGAAAAAAATTTTATTAGAATTCATTTTTGAATTTGGAAATTTTTTAAAGGTCCATAGAATACCTACTTACAATTTTATAATTCCGTTTAATGAAAAATTCCAATTCCTCATTTTGATTTAAAGTGAAAATATAAAGCTGGGAGAGAAAAAATATTAAAAATTATATAAAAATTCAATTCTTACATAACCCACCTTTTCCGTTACGCCATCACGAAAATACAATGCACTGTGGTCCACAAAACACTCATCATCGGGAGAGGGTAATACCATTACGACCTTGTCTTTATCGGCAATAATTCTTAAAATTTCTATTAGGGCTGAGACCAGGGCATCTCTTTGCATATCAGATGTGGGGGATAAGGGGCTGAAATGGGGAAAATATTACATAAGAAAAATTTCTCTGTGATATATCACAGTGAACAAATTTTCTCTGTGATATATCACAGTGAACAAATTTTCTCTAGAAAATTTTTCTCTGTGATATATCACAGTGAACAAATTTTCTCTAGAAAATTTTTCTCTGTGATATATCACAGTGAACAAATTTTCTCTAGAAAATTTTTCTCTGTGATATATCACAGTGAACAAATTTTCTAGAAAATTTGAACAAATTTTCTAGAAAATTTTTCTCTGTGATATATCACAGTGAACAAATTTTCTCTAGAAAAAATTCTCTGTGTTATATCACAGTGAACAAATTTTCTCTAGAAAATTTTCTCTGTGATATATCACAGTTGACAAATTTTCTGTGATATATCTAGAAAATTTTTCTCTGTGATATATCACAGTGAACAAATTTTCTCTAGAAATTTTTCTCTGTGATATATCCCAGTGAACAAATTTTCTCTAGAAAAATTTTCTCTGTGATATATCACAATGAACAAATTTTCTCTAGAAAATTTTTCTCTGTGATATATCACAGTGAATAATTTTCTCTAGAAAATTTTCTCTGTGATATATCACAGTGAACAAATTTTCTCTAGAAAATTTTCTCTGTGATATATCACAGTGAACAAATTTTCTCTAAAAAATTTTTCTCTGTGATATATCACAGTGAACAAATTTTCTCTAGAAAATTTTCTCTGTGATATATCACAGTGAATAATTTTCTGGAAAATTTTTTTCTATGACATAATATTCCATTTACTCTGCCATGGCTGCTGCCCTTGTAGTCTTCCGTCCGAATAGCAGATTTTTCACCACAAATCCCTGCACAACGGACAATAATCCTCTTGTGGCATTACGTGGACTTCTCAAACCATAGGCATATTCCTCCTTGGGTGAACCAAAAGTAAATGGGGTCTGGGTCCATTCGGCCCGCATGGGTATGGCAGAGGTGCCAAATACCAATTGCCTTAATTCCTGGAAACATTAAATTTTATTATTTGAAATTTATTAAAAAATTCGAAAAAAATTGGATTTCAAAAAATCTTACCATTGCCAATTCAGGTGTTATGGCCTCAGCACCTTGAGCCTTAAATTGATTTGCCATGCTGCCGTGGAAATTTCCAAAAATTGTTCGTCTTCTATCTCCGAATGCTAAATAGCTTTTAATTTCACTTTCAGTTGCCAGACAGCCAAGTAGATTTGGCTAACAATTTATTTCCGTTTTGTGTTCGGAATATTCTGATATTCAATATTTTTTTTATTTTAATAATTTGTTTTCATATATTTTTTTAATTCATATTTACACATAGTTCTGCACTTGCCCTTAAAAATCAAATATTATTACGCCTTTTTTCATACCGTCAACACTTTTTCGACATTCCCCAGCAATTTCAGCCTGTCACTCAAATCCATTTTCTATGGATGAGGGAGGTGCTCTGTTGTCGGGTCTTTCTTTAATTTTGAATGACTTACAGCCAAATTGAAACTCTTTGCCTGTCATGCAATCGCAAAGTGAAAATGAAAGTGTGAAATTTTATTTCCGAATTTATGTACATTTCGAATTGATTTTTAAGTAGCTTTTCATTGTCGAAATAATCTATGGTTGGATGGGTGTGTATGTCGGTGTGACTGCTCGATGTCATGAAATGTCTTTAATATGTTATTAGTAGTTCAAGTACAAAAGTGGATTCCTGGCATGAAAAGGTATTTGAACTTAAAAATAATTTAAATTTAAGAAGGAGGTATAACACAGTTCCGAAATTTTCTAGAAAAAAAACATTCTGAAATATAGCACAGTGGGGAATTTTCTAGAATTGTTATCTTCGATCTATCACAGATAGAAAATTATTCCGGTGATATATCACAATGAGGAATTTTCATGAAAAAATTTCCTGTGATATATCACAGTTGGAACATTTTCTAATTTTTTCTCTGTGAAATTTCTAGAAATTTGTATCTGTGATACATCACAGTGGGGAATTTTCTTAGAAAATTTTTCCTGTGATATATCACAGTGGGGAATTTTCTTAGAAAATATTTCCCGTGATCACAGTGGGGAATTTTCTTAGAAAATTTTTCCTGTGATATATCACAGTGGGGAATTTTCTTAGAAAATTTTTCCTGTGATATATCACAGTGGGGAATTTTCTAGAAAATTTTTCCTGTGATATATCACAGTGGGGAATTTTACAGGGAATAATTTTCTAGAATTTTTTTTTCTGTGATATATGACAGTGAATAATTTTCTGTGAATTTCATAGAAAAATTTTCCTGTTTTATATCACAGTGGAGAATTTTCCAGATTTTTTTCAGTGATATATCACAGTGGGTAATTTTCTAGAATTTTTGTGATATTTCACAGAAACATTTTTTTAAGTTTTTTATTTGTTCATCTTGATATGTTTTCCAAAAGAAAATTACTTAATTTAAAATAATGACCACAGCTCCACACCTTCGCCAATTGCGTGCAATAATTCCATAATTACCTCAAATAAATTGCAGCAGATTGGACGAAGCATATCACTTCCGTTTTATACCCAGCACCACACTGTGGTACAGGGTATTATGTCTTTGTGCATATGTTTGTAACAAGCAAAAGGAAACGAGGTAGACACAAGAGCGAACCCTATTGAAATTGGGAAAAATCGGTTCAGATTCAGATATAGCTCCCAAAGACCCTAAATATCTTTCGATTTGTACGAAATTTGGCACCGTGTACTGAATTAAGCCTAGAATGATGTGTGTTAAGTTTCGTGAAAATCGATTCAAATTTAGATATAGCTTCCAATATCTATTTTCATCCGATTTAATATAAATGGCGCACCAAAGTCCCTAATATATTCTTCGATTTGCACGAAATTTGGTATAGCGTGCTGAATTGAGTCTAGAGTGATGTGTGTTAAGTTTCCTGAAAATCGGTTCAGATTTAGATATACCTCCCATATATATTTTCGTTCGATTTAATGTAAATGGTGCAGCAAAGTCCTTATATATTCTTCGATTTGCACGAAATTTGGCATAGCGTATTGGATTGAGTCTAGAATGATGTGTGCTAAGTTTCGTGAAAATCGGTTCAGATTTAGATATAGCTCCATATATACTTTCGTCCGATTTAACGTAAATGGTGCACCAAAGTCCCTAAATGTCTTTCGATTTGCACGAAATTTGGCACAGCGTACTGAATTGAGTCTAGAATGATGTGTACTAAGTTTCGTGAAAATCGGTTTAGATTTAGATATAGATCCCATATATATTTTCGTCCGATTTAATGTAAATGGTGCACCTATGTCCCTATATATTCTTCGATTTGCACGAAATTTATCATATGTTGTAGTAGGACATGAGTATGTTCCTGCGAGGGAACATTGACATACAATTGTAAGGATACATATGTAGAATATACCCAAGTGTTGAAGGGTATCATATAGTCGGCCCAGTCCGACTTTACTACTTTGCTTACTGATTATAATTACAAAATAAGTTTGTACATATAATTTGAAAGAATATTGAATAATTTGAAAGATATTGAAATTTTTATAGTGATATAAAACCATTCCGCACCTTGTTACCGGAGTCAAATATTTTAATTCAGTTTTAAGGATAACATCAAGGAAAAAATATGAAGTGTTCCATAATATTTTTGGCATTATATTTATATTGCTCGGTTGCGACCTTGGTGGGCCAGAAATCCTCCTCAGATCAATTGCAGATACATAAAATAATTTTGGAATATTTTAAATACAATGGTGTTCGTACCTTGAATTTTATTAAGTGCCCAAGGAATGAGAGTGGTAAGAAGTCGGTTACGAATATAACATTTATTTCACATTCCAGGACATTAGAGGGTAAACAACTTATTCAGAGAACATTTTCAATATTAGTCCATGTTTTCACATATCACAGAGGTCTCGTGATATTTTGGATACCCATAGCCCAATCTAAGTATCTGTATCTGGCAGCAATTTGTCACGACCTAGCCTCCACATAAAAGTCTCCATGTATTTTAGCTACAAAATAGTGGAGGGATTATAAAGTTCGGTCCGGCCGAACTTAACGACGTCTTTATTTGTTTGTTCTACGACTCCAGTATTTATTCTGCACAATACATTTTTTTCTTTTTATTTCATTTTACGTTTGATATTCCAATTTTCCGATTTCCATATTTATACTGTCCTGAAAAATTGTATCTCTTTTCCCGTTAAGGTTTTGCTGAATTGGATCCCAAAATATTCCTCCCCTATCTAATGAAGGAAAATATGCCCGTTCGCCTATACTCTGGTATTGATTATTTAAAGAAGCCACCAACCGCACCTGTGTTCGGTCCTCCTCTCACCTTTCAACGTAACGATAGCATTGGACGAAGACCTTTAAATCTTAAAATGGAAACAATTGCCCATAAGACAGGTATAATTGTGCCGAATCTCAATACACCATGTGCCCTAAATGTCTTGAGTTGGTGTTCTGCATCGGAACAAAATTATTTTACCACAAATCGATTTTGGTTATTAATTGCAAAGGATATTGGAGATTTAGATAGTCTGGAGGCCCGAGATATATTTCTACCACCCGATAGTGAGGTGAAGGTGTTACTACAAAATGAAGATCGAACATACTCTCTAATTGATGTCTATAAAATAGCCGAGCAGAAGGAGCTAAAGGCCCGTGAGATTATTGGCAATTTTACGGAAATCAAGGATATGATAAAGAGCCTACAAAAATACCGCTCTCCGATTTCGTATCGTGAAAACTTGGAGGGTATTACATTTAAAACCGGATTGGTTATTGCATTTCCTGATATGTTTACCAATATCAATGATTTGTCGTTGCGTCACATTGACACCATATCGAAGGTGAATAATCGCCTGACCTTGGAATTGGCGAACAAATTGAATATGAAGTAGGCCGAACCCGATTTTTATTAAAAATATAAAAATGTATACACTTCAATTTCCAGATTCAACACCCATCAAATGGATAATTATGGCTGGCATCAGCCGAATGGTTCCTTCGATGGTTTCATGGGCCGTCTGCAGCGTTACGAATTGGATTTTGGACAAATGGCTATTTTTATGCGCTTGGATCGCATTGCCTTGTGCGATTTTGTTGCCGAAACCTTTCGCATACGAGCTGGGGTTATGTTCCGCCAACCACCATTGTCGGCCGTGGCAAATATTTTCGCAATGCCCTTTGAAAGTGATGTCTGGATATCGATCCTCATATTGATTTTCTTTACCATTTTTGTATTCACCTTGGAGTTGTGGTTTTCACCACACGATCATGATATGGATTTTTGGGATGGTGTCGTTTTTGTGTGGGGTGCTATGTGTCAGCAGGGATTTTATTTTTCATTTGCCAATCGTTCGGGTCGGATAATTATTTTTACAACATTTGTGGCAACGTTGTTTTTGTTCACCTCATTTTCCGCAAATATTGTGGCGCTATTGCAGAGTCCATCGGAGGCTATACATAATTTAAAGGATTTAAGTCAATCGCCATTGGAGATTGGAGTGCAGGATACGGTGTATAATAAGATATACTTTAATGTAAGTATGAAGAAAAGAGGTTCCCCCGTGTCGGATCTCCACCATGAAAAACCAAAAAGAAAGATACCAAAATTTGGAATTATGGTGGATGTTATATCAAGGAGATCTGGAGAAATAATTGAAAATAATTTTTTCTAATTTCCCAGGAATCCACGGATCCCGTCACTAATCTATTGTATCACAAGAAAATCGCACCCAAAGGCGACAGCATCTATATGCGTCCCATGATTGGTATGGAAAAAATGCGCACCGGCCTTTTTGCCTATCAGGTGGAACTGCAGGCTGGTTATCAAATTATTAGCGATACTTTTAGTGAGCCAGAGAAATGTGGTCTCAAGGAATTGGAACCATTTCAGCTGCCCATGATTGCAGTACCGACAAGGAAAAATTTTCCATACAAGGAACTGTTTCGAAGGCAGTAGGTCAAAAATTTCATATATATTTTTAATTTTTAAGCATTTGTTTATTTCCTCCCCCCAGATTACGTTGGCAGCGTGAGGTGGGCCTCATGAATCGAGAAGAATTGAAGTGGTTCCCACAAAAGCCGAAATGTGAAGGTGGTGTTGGAGGGTTTGTATCGATTGGTCTTACCGAATGTCGTTATGCATTGGCCATGTTCGGTTATGGTGTCCTGCTAGCCGTAATTGTTTTTTGTTTCGAAATAATAATAAAGATTATACATCGTTTGGGTAGAAGGATGAATACCTATTACAATGGAAATCGATTTCCGGTTGTATTGGAAGAAGAATTAATTTAATCTCCGATGACTTATTAAACCATCATCGTCAAATGAATAATGGATAGTGAAAAAAATAAATATTCAATTACCTATCAATTGAATTGCGATTTGGCAAACAAAATGTGATTTGTCGCAGAGCAAACAAAAAAATCAATTAGCCTACCTTGCAACATTGTTAGTTGCCGCTTCTTAGTTGAACTATATTTTATATACCCTATGTAGATTGTAGTTGCGAATTTTTGGGTATTAAAATGTATAATATGGATATTATATTCATCCAAATCTATTGAATTTTTATTAGAAATTAATTTTCATTAGGTGTATGCCTCAGTCTATCCTTTGAGAAAAGGAAAAGCCAGATAGCAGCCACTTTGGTTGGGAAATGTGGCTAGAAGCTTCAAAATACCAAATGCTTCTCATCTGCTGCTATGCTATTGGTACCCGAGAATAACATTAATATGGTATTACTCTACTATAATCCATCTATATCAGACCTACCTGATAGGCCAGTTGATATACAGGCCTATCAGACAGGTCTGATATACACGCTTGAATTGTTGGACCTCACTCTCGGGATCATACATATCTCTCCTGAATTGTCTGGACAGTTCGAAAAAATATTTTCGGACCAATATGTACGTAAAAGAGCACCAAAATCAGATTTTCGGACCAACGTTGGAAAAATCAAGCGGAATTCTCCTAAAATATTTGCTTGAAAATAGGCCGAAAAGGTCAAAATTTGGTCAGAAATGTCCAAAACGACAAAACCTGTCATAACATGCAGATTATCCACTGTTATCGTGAGAAGACACCCAGCATTCTGGCTGGTCTGAATATTCTTCCACTGCGTCTCACGTACATTCTCAAAACATACTGGCATCGCATAACTGAACGATAGACTATTTCTTTAAGAGGTCAACAAGTTATGCTGTCTGGGCCCCTAATGCTGCCTGGTGACTTGAGGTCCTTTTTTTCTACTTCTCATCTTACAGCGAAGAGCAGTGGCTTACGCAGACTATTTGAAAAGGCTGTGGGAGCTTCATTTCAGCCGCCGAAAAGGAGGGGTTTTTTCACATTTCTCAGAAAGAAGAAACATACAAGATCAGCTATGTAGACGTTTATCATCTCACATATACACAGGAGGTTGTTGCTGCAGCAGCTTGTACTGCTGTGTACTTCTTCTGCTTCTAACTCCAAGTCCAAAAAGGCTACACCATCCTGATGTTAATTGTGCCAAGACCACTCTGGTTTGTCAAGGTAGCTGCTGCTCTTCTGCATCTATCGTAGGCGAGTGATCACCGAGGATTGTATTCACACGATATACTCAAATTGCTTCCTCAACTGCATCCGTGTGAATACGATTCATACACATATAAAAGAAGTTGCTGTTGTTTTTGTGCCCTATTACTTTTACACAATTACTCGGGTCGTTTCGGATCGTAGACACCTCTGTCATGGAAATGCTAGAGGTCATTGGAGTTGCTGTGCCTTTCTAGAAACCGTGACCTTTCGCCTGGGGGGAGTGTTTACTGTATTCCACATTTTTTCTTTATATTTCATTTTACTTTTGATTTCAAATTGATGTTTCTTTTTATTTCATTTTACATTTTGTGAATGCGGTAGGTGTTATCCTGCAAAATAATAATTAATTTCTATATTTTTCTTTTTATTTAATTTTACCTTTGATTTCCAATCTCCTTCCCTTTCATTTTACCTTTGCTTACACCTCTCTCTAAACATATCCTTCCTCAAGGCAATTTTTTTTTTGTTATGTTTTCTTGTGGGTGATATTGGAGTACATCTTCCGGATAATCTTCTTTCATTTTTGTTTTTTCTTTTTACTTCATTTTACCTTTGGTTTCCAAATTTTTTGTTTTCATTTCCCCTTTTGCTTTCCAAATTGCGTTGTTTTTTCTTTTTATTTCATTTTAGCTTTCCATATTCCCCTTCGTTTCTTTCGCTTTAAATAAATAAAATCTTTTAATAAATAATGTCAAGTGTTTTAAATTAAGTCAAAATATATTGTGCTGCTGCTCCTGCTGTTATTCTACCATATAAGCCTTTGTGGTTCCTTATAATTATCCCATTTAATTTCTTTGGTAAAGAAAATATAAAATGTTATGGCATTCAATAGGACATTGAAACTCAATTCAATCCAATGGGCACGACTCGATTTCAAATTGGGACGGGTATTTAATCGGAACAAAACAAATGGTATTATGAAATAACGTAATTCCAACAAACGTTGGAAACACAAAACTATGGCAGTAGCTAACCAAAACATAAATTGTAAATTAAAACGTAAATGTTTGATGCCCTGATGGACGAACATCAGCGCAATCGAATATACGGGGCACATACAATATTTAAACCACCAATAACGACCGTATAGTCTTTGCCATATATAAAATATATAATGACGATTATCGGCCAACAGATATGGATGTACCAAAGTATTGAAACGTACTATCATTAGGAACACAATGGTTAACATAATCATTTCACTTTTATATTGCCATATGGCTTGCATTGTCGCGCGGAATCTATTGATAATATTTGAGATGCCGAAGAAACAACAGAAAATGCTGAAGTAGAAGAGCTGGAAAGGAAATAAAGAAATGTTAGAATTTTAAGTAAAAATATTTTTTGGGTTCTGGTATTACCTGTGGCAAATGAATGCTAGCTTCATGGGCCCTCTTGTCTCCCAACACTATGGAACCGTTGAGATAGACAAAACCCATAAATGGCAGTATTATAATTAAATAGAAACATCCTTGGGTAATAATGTACCAAAGACATTTCATCACCAGTTCGAAACGTTTTAAAATGTCGAAAATAACCTGGAATAGAATGGAAGGTATTAATAAAATAATAAAAAAAAGTATAAAATAAAAAATTAAATATTAATAAAATAAAAAAAATCCTGAAGGGATCACATATTCCATGCTGTAAGGAAAACAGTTAAAATCCCTTCCAATGAAGAATCAAAATTCGAAATAAGAATTTCGATGGATCCAGGTGGCAAAGTTCCATATATTTCAAGAAGGACTTATAGTGAAAATTGTCTGTTCTCCTAATCTTTATGGGAGCGGATTGCCACTTCAGTTAAAAATACCGAAGGGGGGTTAGTACATTCTATTACCAAAGTCTGGAGCCACACTGACATTTTCTGGCATTAGGAATTTTATACTTCGAAAATAACAAATTATAAAAAATAGGTTGGGAAAAGCGGCTGGGAGCTGACTTTAGAGATGTTCCCATTTTTTAATGTCATCGAGGACATTTACTCCATGGCAGCTGACCGAGAGTCTTATCTATTTTCTAATTGATAAAAAACAGATATCTCCTACTTATATCATTTTAATTTTTAATTTAATTTTTCTATATCATAGGACCTTACCTTTGGTTGATAGATTTTAACATCATTTGGTTTAATGCCCTTCAGCTCGGCATATTTCACTGTGACCAAATCCAAAGCCGTTGTACCAAAAGCCATGGCAACCCAAACGACATTGGTTTGACGCATTAAGACACTGGCAGCAGCTAAATAGGAAAAACACAAATTAATTCCACGAATATTAAAATCTATTTCCAAATCACCTACCATATACAGATGCCTGTAAATGACTACCCTTTTGCCAAAATGCATACATCAGCAATACCATGGTCAGCGACAACGTATCCGAATAGTACAAATGACTAAAGAAATATAGAGGTGGTAAACTGCCTATGGTCAGCGCTTCCAAAGCGGCCAACGTTGAATGGGCATTACCCAAACTTTTGCGGCGTATATAATACAGCAGGACCACATTAACAGCTGCCGCGACCAATGATATCAAACGTAAACCCAATACCTCACAAAATTCCAAGGGTATTAGTAGCAATGCAAAGAAATACAGGCCGGGGAAGGTGGTAATTTTGGGATCCCACTGGAAGAGAGAAATACTATTACTTCCCCAACAATAATTGTGTTTCATTTACATACCTCCTTAAATTGCTTCTGACAATAGCGTATACCCTGCCGCAGATGGAATTCTTCATCGATTACCATTTGTGTGGTGCTATATACCCGAAGAAACAAGGGCAGGGAATAGGCCGCAAAGACCAGCACCAGTAATACGGGCAGCAAATAGGTTTTCATGTTTGCCACGTCTCCTCTTTTCCAGTTGTCTCACAATGTCCTAGTATCCTTTTTGCAACTGCAGCCTAGAAGGAAGGCATCGATTTTCTTGATTAATTCTGCCAAATTGTCAAAACACAACAGCTGAAGAGAGCTCAGAGAGAGAGAGAGAGAGAGAGAGCAACTGAGCAAACAAAACAATTACCGGCCGGTTGAAAACAAAAACCACCTTGTTCTATTTTTAGAACACTTAAATGTCTCTTAATTTTTAAAAAACATTTTAAATTATTGTTTTTAAAACCTTTTTAGTGTTTTATTTAATTTATAACGTCATTTTCTTCAATTTTCTAGGTAGAGTTAAAAATTTTCCTTGCCTTATTTGTCTCTTCTTATTCCTTACTGGCATGCAATGTGGATTGATAACACAAGTGAGAAAACAAAACAATTACCAGCCGGTTGTAAACAAAAAAGCTAAAACCACCTTGTTCTATTTTTAGAACAGTTTAATTTCTTATTTAATTTGGTAATAACAATTTAAATTATTTGCTTAAAACATTTTTAAGTGATTTATTGGAACAAGTCTAGTTTAGGGGCTCCACTCGGATCGCTTTGAAATTTTTACCGTAAGTAGTCCTCGTTGAGCTGATTAGAGTGATATATATTTTATGTGGGGGAAATGCATACTTCCCGAGATATGGGCCTTGAAATTTCGGAGCATATCTTGATTAAAACGGCCGTTTTAGTAATGCCACATAGGCAATATGGGTATCATTTTAAAGCTTACAACGAATGCGCATACATGGCTACGCAATCCAAATCCTTTTTTAAGAGCAATTTTCAAATCAAATTTAAGGTTTTTTAAGAAGCCGGCCTTCGGCCGGGGCTTAAGACTTTCACCTATGGACAGACGCATACATGGCTACGCAATCCAAATTCTTTTTTAAGAGCAATTTCCAAATCAAATTTAGGTTTTTTTAAGTAGCCGGCCTTTCGGCCGGAGCTTAAAACTTTCACCTAAGGACAGGCGCACTCATGGCTACGCAATCCAAATCCTCTTTTAAAAGCAATTTTCAAATCAAATTCAAGGTTTCACCTATGGACAGACGCATACATGGCTACGCAATCCAAATCCTTTTTTAAGAGCAATTTCCAAATCAAATTTAGGTTTTTTTTAAGTAGCCGGCCTTCGGCCGGGTCTTAAGACTTTCACCTATGGACAGGCGCACTCATGGCTACGCAATCCAAATCCTTTTTTAAAAGCAATTTTCAAATCAAATTCAAGGTTTTTTAAGTAGCCGGCCTTCCGCCGGGGCTTAAGACTTTCACCTATGGACAGACGCGTACATGACTACGCAATCCAAATCCTTTTTTAAGAGCAATTTTCAAATCAAATTCAAGTTTTTTTAAGTAGCCGGCCTTCGGCCGGGGCTTAAGACTTTCACCTATGGACAGACGCATACATGGCTACGCAATCCAAAGCCTTTTTTAAGAGCAATTTTCAAATCAAATTCAAGGTTTTTTAAGTAGCCTGCCTTCGGCCGGGGCTTAAAACGGCATATACATTAGAACTTTTTACCGTGTTAACCTACTTTATGAGGATTTATTTGACATATATGCAAAGGAATTGACAATTGAAACCCACTGGGTTAACGAAATCCGGTTAAATGTAAACGTACTGTAAGACTTTCACCTATGGACAGGCGCATACATGGCTACGCAATCCAAATGTTTTTTCTTTCAATTTTAGTTAATATTATACAATTTACAATGATATACTATATTTATTTTTAAAGCACTATTCAATCCCTTTAAAATGATACCCATATTGCTTTGGTGGCATTAGTAAAACGGCCGTTTTAACCAAGGTATATTCCAAACTTTCAAGGCCCATATCTCGGGAAGTATGCATTTCCCCCACATAAAATATATATGACTGTAATCAGCACAACGAGGACTACTTACGGTAAAAATTTCAAAGCGATCCGGGTGGAGCCCCTAAACTAGACTTAAGCCGATTTATTTAATTTATAAGGGCATTTTCTTCCATTTTCTCGGTAGAATTTAACTATTGTCTTACCTTATCGGTTTCTTCTTCTTATTCCTTACTGGCATGCAAAGTGGATTGATAACACTGCGTGCACGATTGACGCCGTTGTCAAGCAAAATAACAACGGCGTCAATACTGCAAGGAAATATGAATACAGTGGAACTTCATTATAATTTTAAGGGGAAATGGGTCCATCGTTTGAAATAGCCCCCAATAAATAGGTCTTTACCCATTCTAGGGATATTTTAATGATGCTAGGCCCATTTTCCTATCGAAGTGGCTGCATTTTGGCATTCCTTGTTAATTTTCAATATGGGTCCCTGTTTTGATATTCCTTCTCAAATATTTCTCTTATATAATTTGAAGTTCCCGGGCTAATTTTCCAATCGAATGGGGTTTTCTGTTTGACCTGTTCGACTTAAGTCTTCAATTGTACATATATATATTTTTCACGAAACGAACACAACTATTATACGCCGATTTTCCACTCTGCCATTTCTTTTTCTATACAAATCCGTTATCCATTTTATTTTCGACTCATTTTTATCCAGCAATCTCCCTTTGATACATTCTTCATTGCAATTGGAACGTTTTTAAATTCGATCATGTCCAAACTTCACTCTAGGCGTCTATTTTGAAAATTTCGTTTTTCATTCGTTGAAGTTTTGAAAAAAAAATACAATCGTCTCGGGATCTGGACCAAAATGGTATGCTATTAAATTATATGGATTATTAAATAATTATAATTTCTATTATTTATCGTATTCGTTATAAATAAAATAATTCTTATGTTGAGGTTAGGTATCTTTGTGCCCAGTATATAAGCAGCGGCAGTGTGATGAAATTATTATCTTTGCGTTATGTTCCTATGCCAAGAATTATGTTCCTATGTTTGATAATTTACTTTCCACTTCCAATGAAGCCTTTCATCAATGATACTAAAAGTGAGGTTAGGGTTTATTCTTTCCTCCTACGAACAAAAATAGAAGCAAGCTGCGTTTAGGGATTCTCTTAGTATTGTGGACTTCTTAAGATCCGGAAATACACAAGCTTATTATTGTAACATGTAAAAAAATTCGGATGGAGTCCCGTCATTTGAATTTACCTAGAAATACAAGGTCAACCACTAACTCCGTTTTATTTTCCATTTCAGGTATTCCAAATAACTAATATCTATTACTCCAGCTCTTATCAATATGATGGTGATGGTCACGTCAAAAGATTACAACCATCTCGTCGTCGTCGCTATATAAATCGACTGGAAAGGAAGTTGCGAAATCTCCAAGGACAGTATATAAAAGTGCTCGAAAATGAATTGAAACAATTGAAAGAAGAAAAAGAAAAAAGGCAAATACAACAACAACAAATAACTTATCCGACAAATTTCGGATCACCAGCAAATCAACAAAATGTCGTTCAAGCACCTATGACGTTAATGGAAACTCCCTGTCAGTTCGTTTCCCCGGTAAACAGTTACCAGTATTATGCACCACAAGGATATTATTCTTACCCGGTTTCCAATGGAATTCCACAACAACATCCACAGCCATTTCCTCACTATGGTATGTGGAATTATCCGACTTATATGCCAACAAATTATGTTACCACAACAACATCGATTACAAGAACTGAAACTACTACTATACATCATCATCATCATCATCATCCTCACGCCCAATTTGTGCAACAAAATCAATCCATAACAAGTTCTCAAGAAGGATTGGTTACTTCCACAGCTGTTTTAAGAACTAACGTAATGGAACAAAATGTTACCAACCCCATGGAACAAAATGTTTCCATTTCCATATTGACAAACAATCCGAATGCTAATGTGTCTGTAAATGCGAATCCTTCTTGTTCAACAGCAACCGAAAGGGCGATACCTCAGCCCCAGCAAAAATCGGTTAACAACGATTCCAATTTGTCAAACAATCAGATGTGTTCCACTATAGCTACTCCAAAGCAATCCACACAAAATCCAATAAAAACCGATAACAATTTTTCCAATAATTCGACTTCTCAACACGCAGATAATGTCCAGCAACATCAAAAAAATGCAACAACTGTTAAAAATAATTTGCCAAAAAATCCGCAGTCTACCCAAACTGAAAGTTCGAGCACTGAGGTTGCGGTAAAAATCCAAACGACTCAGCAACAACAAAATCCTATAATTACAGATTCCAAATCTACTCAAACACAATGGAATGAGGACACGCCCTTTGCTGGTACAAAGGATGCTATGACACAGTCTCAAAATCTTTTTAAATCAACTTCAACTACTTCTAAAAACGAGGAAGAGAATTTAAATTCCACCTGTCGTCGAATTTTTGTTCCCGATTACATTGTTAACAGCGATGGAGTTGTTTATATATCCCAAACTCAACCCGAGTGGTGTACACTACGATCTGGAAACGAAAATGATATTTAAAAAAAACTAAGTCTGCTGAAAAATTATTCAACAGATTTCAACATGAAATGGCATCGATGGTCAATTCAGTAAGGAGTATTCAAAACAGTATTTAAAAAAGTTTTTTTTTCTTTTTTCAATTTAATGAAATAATTTGAATTAAAAAATGTCGTATTTTATTTTTTTTATTAGAGAACACAAGTTATTTTATTTTAAAAAGTCGTATTATTTTATGTATTTCTTATATATGTTTTTAAATAACCGTTAGAATTATTTTGAGGTTATGTGTTTTTAATTTCGTTTTTATTTTTGTTTCCTGTAAGAATATATTTATTTTATTATTTCATTTAATAATACAAGCCCAATTCATTAATTCCTATGATATATAATTTCTTATATATAGCATGTGTTAAAATTCGAATTTATGTTTTGTTTCTTTTTATTAATTTTTTATATATGGACTATTTTCAAATAAAATATATGATTTTCTTTTAAATTAATTAGTTCATTTTTATACACTCCAACAAAAGAAGATCCATGTTTTGATGTAGGCTCAATATATGTTCCTGCCCCATTTTCGATTTTTTTTTGTTAGACTGGTCTTCAAGTAGGAATATTCTGCACTAAATTTCACTATGGACCAGCGACTATAAGAAATCGGAATATATAATATATATGTAAGTAGATAAATCAGAGTTATTATTTTTTTTATGTTATTTTCGATTAAGGACAAAATCACCCATCAGAGATCCCCCTAGGTAATTGATATACAAGAAACAAATACTCTAAAGCAAATTTCACTATGGACCGCTGAAGAGTAAAAATCCGTACCTTCAGTATTTACGTATAAAATTTGACTCACAAAATGGGCTATATAAAGATTAAAAAAAAATTATTAAATTTTTTGAGGTTATTTTCGATCGAAGGTGATTTTGCCATTAAAGTTAATCCTAGGTAATTGGTATAAAAGGAAAAAATGTTCTACACCAAATTTCACTATGGGTCAGTGAAGAGTAAAAAGCCGTACATTCAGTATTTATGTATAAAATTTGACTCACAAAATGGGCTATATAAAGATAAAAGTGAATAATTAATTTTTTTTGAGGTTGTTTTCGATTGAGGGCAAAATCACCCATTAGAAGTCACCCTAGGTAAATGGTATAAGAGGAACAAATATTCTACATCAAATTTCACTAAGGGTCAGGGAACAATAAAAATCTGTACAATAAGTATTTATCTGTAAAATTTGACTCAAAAATAGGACTTATATCTGAGAAAAGTTTAAATGAATTTTATACGCGTTACTGTAGTGTATTTCGAATCTAACCTAAAATCTCCCTTTGTTGTTCCCATTAGAGAGGTGGTATTAAAGAAAGGAAAAATTCTTCATCAAATTTCACTATGGGTCACCTAAGCGAAGAATTATGTATATGCAATATTTACTTACAAAAATTAGATTTTCAAAATTGTCTATGGCAATAGAAAAAACAACTATAACCATTTTTTGGGTTATTTTCGAAAAAAGGCAAAATCTCCCATTACGGTTGACTTTAGTGGGGGTGATTCTAAAGTAAGAAAAATGCTTCGTCAAATTTCACTATGGGTCACCGACTAAATATAATATATATGTACGAAAATTTCACTCACAAATTTGATTAGATAAATGGGAGTTATTAGATTTTTTGAGGTTATTTTCGATTGAAGGCAAAATCACCCATTAAAATTCACCCTAGGTAATTGGTATAAAAGGAAAAAATATTCTACACTAAATTTCACTATGGTTCACTGAAGAGTAAAAATCCGTACACTCAATATTTATGTATAAAATTTGATTCACAAAATAGGCTATATAACTGAGAAAAGCTTAAGTGAATTTTTACGGATTATTGTAGTGTATTTCGAATTTAACCTAGAATCTGCCTTTGTTGCTCACTTTAGAAAAGTAGTATTAAAGAAAGAAAAATTCTTCATCAAATTTCACTATGGGTCACCTAACTGAAGAATTATGTATATGCAATATTTTGATACAAAAATCTTAATTTCAAAATTGTCTATAGCACTAAAAACCAACTATAATCATTTTTTTAGGTTATTTTCGATAAAAGACAAAATCTCCCATTACGGTTGACTATAGAGGGCTGGTACTAAAGTAAGAAAAATTCTTCATCAAATTTCACGATAGGTCACCTACTAAACGATATCGGAATATATAATATATATGTACGAAAATTGAACTCAAAAATTTGATTAGATAAATAAGAATTATTAGATTTTTTGAGGTTATTTTCGAACGAAGGCAAAATCACCGATTAAAACTCACCTTAGGTAATTGCTATAAAAGAAAAAAATATTCTACATAAAATTTCACTATGGACCACTGAATAGTAAAAACCAGTACATTCAGTATTTATGTATAAAATTGGACTCACAAAATGGGATATTTATTAAAAGGTCTACTGACTACACCTTTTTAATAAAAAACATCTGTTATTTTTTTCTAAGAAAAAACATTTTTTTATTATTTTTCCATATATGTATATAATAATAATCATAACGATGTTTTAAAAACATGCTGAAAACAATAATGTTTTTTGTTTTAATTTTAAAAATTTGTCTTAAAAACTATAATTATTTCCGAATTTCTAAAAACATTGACAATCGATTCACAAAATCAAAAAAAGGATATTTTTAATAATATTTTTTATTATTATTAATAATATATATTTTAGAAAACTAAAAATATATATGTATGTGTGAAGATTTTCCTTATTTATTTACACATCTGTAAATCATGGGAGCCGAACGATCATTTGTGGTCGTGTGACGCAATTTAACGGTGGCAAACTGTGAAGCTCTGCATGTCGTCGTTGTCGAAATTTAAGAATTAAAATTAATATTACAAATTATATACAAAATACATATAGTATATAAAATATTTAAATACAAAAGATTTAGATATAAAATCGAAAAAATATAAACTTAAAAACTAATACAAAACAAATACAGGGAATTTAGCATACTTGTTTTCAGGGGGAGGGGGGAGATAAAGTAGATATAATATTTGAATTAAAAATCTAGGGATCTATTACGATAGGCACCAATTTTGCTAAAAGAAATAAAAAATGGAATAGAAAAATATTTTAGAAATATTTTTTTCAGAATTTTTATAAAAAATGGAAGACTTGAGTTATATGTTGTCACGATCAAACACATACACACACAAATGTATTTTAAATGACCAAAATGTGTATGAAAGAAAACACGAAGAAGATGTAAAATTATAACTTAAATATTACAATCAACTTAAAATTAATAATAAAAAAATATATAAAAATTTATATGTATATTTGTATGTATGTATATGTATAATAATAAACTGACTTTACACAAAATAAGACTCTTTACAAACAAACGAAAAAAGAAGATGAAGAGTTAAAACAAAAATTTAATATACTATGATGTAAACTTGGCACTACTTTTTAAAATTTGTTTTCAAAAGATTCTAAACAATTTCTCAACCAGTAAGAAAATGCTGAGAGTGCCTAAATTCTAAGAAGTTCCTTATATAATTTTAAGTTAACCATTAATCGACTTTTGTTCTTTGAGGTTAATGTAGAGAGAGAAGAAAATGTCAGAATTTTATAAATTTATTACAGAAATTTGTGTATTTTAGCCATTAATATTTTGTTCAATAATAAAATTTTGTATGCCAGAGACCGATAACATGACATACAATCACCGATAACAACATTTTGTGTACATAAGATGACCGAAAACATTTTATTTCTTAAAGAATTTTGTCATGATAATCGATAACCATATTTTCTACACTCAAGATGACCGATAACTGTATTTTGTCTTCAAATGATAATCGATAAACACATGTGTTGTGTTCCTGGTACAAATGATAAGCGATAAACATATTTTTTAAACATCAACCAACCGATAACATTATTTTGTGGGCGATAACAATACTTTCTATATAAAGAATTATCGATAACAATATTTTCTATAAAAAACGAGTTCGATAAAATTTTTTATATATCGATAACAATATTTTCTATAGGATATATAACGATAACAATATTTTCTATAAAAAATATTATCTTGTGAAAGAACGATAACAGTTATTAATACACAAAAAGATGGAAAAAATACTTTCCATTTAAAATGGAGACCGATAACAATAATTTCTAAAGAAAATGTAATCGATAACATGAATTTATATACAAAATTTTATCGTTAAATGTATTTTCATAATATTTTCTATAGAAAAAATATCGATAACAATATTTTATATAGAAAATTATCGATAATATTTTTGTTTTCTATAGGAGATATTATGGATAACGATGTTTTCTATAGAAAATATTATCGATAACAAAGTTTTCTGTAGAAAATATCCATAACAATGTTTTCTATAGAAAGTATTCTCCATAACGCGATTTTCTATTGAAAATATTATCGATAATAATATTGTCTATGGTATAGATTTTCGATAACAATATGTTCTATAGAAACTATTATCGATAACAATAGTTTCTACAGAGAATATTATCGATAACAATATTTTCTATAGAAAATATGATCGATAACAATATTTTCTATAAACATTTTTATCGATAACAATGTTTTGTATAGAAAAATATCGATAACAATATTTTCTTTAGAACATTGTATCGATAACAATATATTCTACAGAAAATACTATCGATAAAAATATTTTTCATAGAAAATTGTATCGATAACAATATTTTCTACAGTGAACGGTACTGATTTTCTCTGGAAAATATTATCGATAACACGATTTCTTATAGAAAATATTATCGATAACACGATTTCTTATAGAAAATATTATCGATAACACGATTATTTATAAAAAGTATTATCGATATCAATATTTTCTATAGAAAATATTATCGATAACAATATTTTCTACCGAAAATGTATTCGATAACAATATTTTCTATGAAAAATATAATCGAAATCACCAATTTCTATAGAAAATATCTTCGAAATGAAAGACCGATAACATAATAATGCTTAGAAAATATGGTCGAAAATATCTATGAGAAAATCGATAAATACATGTTCTTTTTTAATTTCGATAATAAAATTTCCTTTGGAATTTTAATCTGATAAATGGTTATCGATATCCTTCTATTTCGATAAACACTTTCTCTAATTTGCCTCTACTTCCCTCTACCCTTAACCTCATTTTTTGTTGTCGATTAGTTTTGTCCTTGAAGATAACCCCAACCATAATTATCGATTTTCTTCTTTCGAATCGTTTCTACTTCATTTTATTTGATTTCACACTCTGTTCCGGTTGATCCCAGAAATCATACCACGGTCCATAGGTTTTGCCATAATGTTTATCGGCAGCACTGGGACCACCACCTCCCACATTACCATTCGCTCCCGCCGATCTTTCACTCTGGTGTAGCATTGCCTTTTGGGCGGAGTTACTCGCCGAGTTACGTTCCAATGTCATGCTGCTGGACATATTCGATGATTTCATTAGACGGGTGCGTGGCAAAATCGTGGCAGTGGGTGTGGATAGGGCCGACTGGGATTGATGGCGTCTCAGGGTACTGTCATCATATTGACGCATCTGTTGATCCTGTTGACCATTATCGTGATATTGTTTTGTGGATTGGCGTTGTTCCCCCCTTTCGCCATGATGATTGGAGGAGCGTTCGGATTTCTTTTTCGAAGTGCCATTATTTGAGGAGGACATTTCCCTGTTACCCGCGGCAGTGGTGGCTGCGGTTGTCGTGGTGGCTCTGAATGTCTGGAATTCCATTTGATGTTCCTGCTGCAGGGCAGCATGCATGGCTCGTCGCTGTTTTTCATCACGACGCACCAAGTGGTCGTTGATGACAATGCAATCATAGGGATCGGAACTGGTAGATTTTATCTCGGGATCATCGGAGTCGTCTTCACTGGTGTAGTACTGCTTGAGAATATCCTTACGCTTTACGGTTTTCATGATGATCCCACCTCCGCCACCCATACCTACCCCCATGGCATTGCCATTATTGTCGAAGAAATTATTTACATCGGACATTTTCAGGGTGCCATTGTCGAGTTCACTTTCCCCAGCCTCGCTCTCTGTGGAATGGAACATATCCTGCTGCTGCTGATGCTGTTGATTCTGGCGATTTTGATTTGCGGAATTCCCTTTATTTTGTTGTTGGTTGGCGGCATTGCCTGCGGATTTGTTCTTGCCGTTGGCCCCACCCGCTCCCGCAGAGTTGCGATGATTATTCATGGTGTTTTGTTGTTTCTGCTTTGAGGCCGATTCATTCATCGATTGACGATTGTTCATCGATTCCCGATATTCCTTTTGATTTCTCTTGATAGTACTCAACCGCTCATTCTCACCAGGATTTTCAATATCGATCTCTATCGTCTTCATAATTTTCATTCGCGACTTGGGGGTGAAATTATTATTCACCACACTGCGATTTAACATCGGCTCCCTTACCATTGGCGTCAGACCATAAATATTCTCATCATCATCGTACATTTCCATGCTGGTGATGCTCTCTTTGCGTACACGTCCTGTGCCATTCTTCTCCTGCGAAGAGGCATTAGAGTGGTTCGAATTGCTCTTGGTGGTCAAGGTGTTGGTGTTCGTATTTGTATCGGCGTGTTCCATTTCCTTTTCACTTTCCATTTTACTGCTGGTAGTGCGATAACCCTCATCCCGTAACTCATCGACATTGGGTGTGGCCACCAGATCGCGATGTTGCCACAATGACATGCCAGCCAAAATATCTTCATTACGTCCTCCACCAAATTTCCAAAAAGATTTTGTCCTCTTAATACCACCCGATGAGGCCTGCAGGATCTCATCATCGCTGGCAATCAAGTCATAACGCATTTTACCCATTGAATTCCGATTCAGGGTCTTCAAGCTACGATCATCGATTTGACTGTCAATGCTGCTACGGAAATTGCGATTCAAGGTCCAGGAGGCCACTTCACGATTTGTCGACATATGGGAATTTGTGTCGGCACGACGTCTGGGAGATTTTAAGGTCAAGGGATTTTGGCGATACAGGATGTATGTATTTGGTTTTTTGAGGTTATGTATGGTTCAACACAAAAGTGATGATGAGGGGGCGAAATAAAACAGAACATAAAAAAAGAAAACACAAAAAGAATAGCTCATATTAAAAAAATAAGCAGGGGAAAATTAAAAGAAATTTTGAAATAAAAAATTGTTATTTACAAAAAATAATGCAAATGATTTCAAATGCAAGGGTCAGTCGGGTTAAATACAACAACAACAAAAATATGTGTGGCAGAAGAGGACATTCGGAAATCCATAGCAATAATAATAAAAAATAATGACCTATATAAACATTTTCTATATAAATAATAATCGATAACATCTTAAAAAAATAATCGATAATTTTTTCAATTAAATAAATCGATCGATAAATATATTTTATAGGGAAATATTGAACCATAACAAATATTTCTCAATAAAAATCTAACCGATTACAATAATTGTTATTTAAAATATTTTCGATTATCGATTACAGTAATTTTTATATAGCAAATATATTCGATAAATGCATTTTTATAGAATATTTCGTCGATAGCAATATAATCGGAAGGAAATATAAACATTTTCTATGTAAGTGATAATCGATAACCGTTAAAAATTCATCGATAATTTTTTTTTTTCAACAAAAAATCGATCTATAACAAAGCTCTTGGACCATAACAAACAATTTCTAAAGAAAATATAATCGATTACAGCAATTTCTATAGCAAATATTTTCGATAACAGTATTTTTTATAGCAAATATTTTCGATAGCCGTATTTTTATGTAGAATATGTGATCGATAGTAATATTATCGGAAATATAAACATTTTCGATATATAAGTGATAATCGATAACAGTTAAAAATTTATCGGACCATAACAAACATTTTCTCAAAAAAATATAATCGGTTTCAGTAATTTCTATAGCAAAAATTTTCGATAACAGTAAATTTATGTAATCGATTGCAGTAATTTCCATAGCAAATATTTTCGATAACAGCATTTTTTATAGAATATGTGATCGATAGCAACATTATCGGATGGCAAAATTATCGATTATATTGATTGCAGTAATTTTCATGGAAACTATTTTCGATTATCGATTACAGTAATTTCCATAATAGGAAAAGAAAATGCATATTAAAAATTTTATCGATAACTTAGTTTTCTTTAGAAGTTATGGTTGATAACAATGAATTTATTAGAAAAAAATGATTGATAAACATTTATGTAGGAAATAAGTTCGATAACTGAAAAAGCCGATCGATAACAATATTTTCTATTGAAAAAAACTATGGATAACAAGATTTTCCATAAAAAATATAATCGATAACAATATATTCTATTGAAAATATGTTCGATAACTATTAAAAAACCAATCTATAACCATACTTTCTACAAAAAGTTATCGATAACAACAGTTGTTAATGAAAATATGTTCGATAACTATAATTTCTGTACAAAATCAGATCGATAACGGTATTTCATATAGAACATACATTCGATAATAGCTTCGATAACTACATTTCCTTTTGAAAATATGCCTGATAACAATAGTTAGTATATAAAATTAGTTCGATAACAACATTTTCTAAAAAAATATGATCGATAACACATATATTCTATTGAAAATATGCTCGATAACTATATTTCTATCAGAAATTCGATCGATAACAAAATTTAGTATAAAAAATAGGATCGATAACAATGGTTTCTATTGAAAATATTATCGATAACAATGTTTTCTATTGAAAATATGTTCGATAACGACGATAACTATAATTCTATAAAACATAAATTCGATTATAATGTAACATATTCGATAACAAAATTTTGTACAGGAAATGTGATCGATAATATTATTTTCTATAGAAAAAGGAACCGATAACGCAGTTTTCTGTAGAACATATTTCCGATAACAATATTTTATAAGGAAAATAACAATATTTTCTACAAAAAATATCGATTACAATATTTTCTATAGAAAATGAGACGGATAACAATATTTTCTACAGTAAATTCGAACGATAACATGATTTTCCATAGGAAATGAGACCGATAATAATATTTTCTATAAAAATGTTATTTCCGATAACATTACTTTCAATAGAAAAATATATCGATAACAATATTTAATATAGAAAATTGTTTCCATATCATAACTTTTTTGTTCCATAATTGTTTCTATATAATTTTTTTTCGATAACAACATAATCCTTATGAAGTATTTTCGATTATAAATGTTATCGATAACTGAAATTTTTTTATATAGAAAATGTTTACTTTGCGGAATTTTTTGGGTTCGTATGTCCTCTTCTACCACATGATTTTTGCCAAGAATATCCCAAACCTCTCCTCCTCCTCTACTTACCGTATGGGTACCCGACTAGTTGGCTGATCATCATCGGAATAATCCACTTCCGGTTGTGGTGGTGGCTCGTTGGCAAAGCCACTGTCATTACTGCTGTGCAATGAAGTTTTGGCAGCAGCCGCTGGTTTCATTTGATTCATAGAAGATTGCTGGGGAGAAATTTCACAGATCAGCATATGTCAAAGGGGGAAGATGGGAGGTGTTGCTACCTGGCCCTACTTACATGATTCATTTGGCTGCCATTTTGTAATTTTTGTTTGCGTCTTTCAATGGCCATTTGACTGCCATTGGGAGCACAAAAACTTTGAGATGAATTTAACATGCGGCCGCCATTCGAGGCGGAGGGTACTGGGGCTGGCAATGTGGGTGGTGGTCCAGGTCGGGGGTTGCCAGATGCCGAGGGACGATACTGAAAAAAGAGAGGTTTAAATATAACGTTTAAATTTTGTGAGATCCCTCTTACCTTCTTCTGATTCCTATATGTGTCACCGAACATACGAGTCGGCGATGATTCCTCAGCCCTTTCCGGTCTACGATATGTGGCATCACTATCCATTTCCTGTTGTGAATCCATAGCATATGATTCATGATAGCTGTTACGCATAGATTGGGCGCCATTTCCACCGCCACCATGACGTTCATAGTGCATATTTTCAAAACGTTCGCTGCGACCACTGTGCTGATCCCGATCCCTATCCATTTTCATTTTGTTCTCCAACATCAGTTCGGCATTGGTGTAGGCTATCGGGAACCAACCGAACATTTGTGTACGTAAATTCTCACCGAATTGCCAACCTTTGGCTTTGCTACCCACCAAGGCAATGCGATCGCCTTCCTCGAAGGGCAATTGATTCTCGCCCGAGGGCATATAAGCATAAAGGGCCTTCACCACAGTGCGTTGATCCCAGTGGCCATTGTCGGTGTGATCATTTCCTGAAAAAGAATATTCTTCAACAATTAATTGCCTTTATTAACCCTTTGCGGACCCCCCTTTCATACCTTGCATATTCGAACTAATGCCATTCGAATTTGCCGAACTATTCAAATTGAAATCGGATTTGGCACGTGGCAAAGAGTTCTGTGTAAACGGTATATGCGATTCATGCAGACTGCGCATATCGCCAAACGGAGCATCAACACTGCGTGATTTCTTCAACAGATTCGATGATGAACCATTGGCATGGGAATCTTCGGAATCCTTAAGACGTTCCTGCAATCATGAAATTGGCTCATTAGCAACACAACAACAAAACACAAAAAACCCTCACAACAACAACATACCAATCTTTTATTACCCACAAGCAGCGAATTACCATCGTACACCGTGCTGGGCAATACCTCGCGTGATGCTGCAATATCTTGCCAATTTTCCAAATGATTATCAATTACTTGTTTGCCGGTGCTGTGGTAGGCCATCCAGTGTTTGGCTATTGAACACTGACGTTCCAAAACGAAACCATAACGACGACGTTCTTGAGTCATGGCCTGGGAAAAAACAACAAAAACAAACAACAACAATTGTTATTCGGAATTAACATCGATAATAATTGGATGAAATATTAATGAGTCCATAATGATCTGGTTCTCGGGTTCATTGGCTTACTTACGTTTTTATAGCTTTGTTCACAGAATGCATCCAATTTTTTCTTTTGATCTTCCAAGATTTGTAAGGACTGCAAGGGGAGAGAGGGGGAGAGAGAGAGGAGAGAAAAGTAATTAGCATTTATTTGGGACCTATTTAATGATAAATGTGTTATGAAAATTATTTCGATAACATTATTTTTTTGCAAAAATGCTACCGAAAACAATATTTTCTACAGAAAATGTCATCGATAACAATATTTTCTGTAAAAAATTTATCGAAACAATATTTTCTTAAAAAATTATATCGATAAAAATATTTTTTAAAGAAAAAATATAACACTATTTTATTCAAGAAATGTTATCGATAACAATATTTTCTACAAAAAACGTTATCGATAACAATATATTCTTTAGAAAATGGTATCGATAACTATATTTTCCATCGGATATGTCATTTATAACAATATTTTCTATAGAAAATACTATCGATAACAATATTTTACATGGACAATTTTATCGATAACAATATTTACTAAACAAAATGTTATCGATAACAATATTTCTATATAAAATGTTATCGATAACAATATATTTTTTTGGAAATGTTATCGATAACAATATTTTTTTAAAGAAAATGTTATCGATAACAATAGTTTCTTTAGAAAATGAACTCCGTAACACTATTTTCTATAGTAAATTTTATCGATAACAATATTTTGTTACTATAATATCACTCGGTAACAATTTTTGATGTATAAAATGATATCGATGATAATATCTCCTTTATAAAATGTTATCGTTAACAAAATCGGTTGATAATTATATTCTTTATAGAAAATGCTATCGATAACAAAGAAAAAGAAAAGTTTTCGATAACAATATAACATAAAAATTGTGTTCGATAACATATTCTTTAGAATGATTGGTGGATTTCAATTATTATTTAAGTAAACTATGTTCGATAACAATTTTATCAGGATTCATTATAGCCGATAAAAAATATTTTCTATAGAAAATGCTATCGATAACAATAATTTCTATAGAAAATCTGATCGATAATAGTATTTTCTATAGAACAATTGTTTCGATAATCCTATTTTCTGCAGAAAATATATTCGATAACAATCATTTCTGCATAAATATTATCGATAACACATAATTTCAATGGAATAATATGTGATTGATAACAACGTTTTCTATCTAATATACAATCGATAACTTATTTTTAATTAGAAAATTATTTCGATAAAAATAATTTGTAAATAATATGTGATCGATAACAAACATTTTTTCTATATAAAATATAATCGATAGGTCTATTTTCTCTAATTTTGTAAATATGTTAAAGTTTTTATAAAATGTGTGACCAATAGCATTATTAAAAAAAAAATCGATAACAATATTTTTTATAAAATATGCTATCGATAATGACATTTTCAATAAAAAATACGAACGATAATAATATTTTCCGATAGCAGTAATTTGTATATAATATATAATCGATAGTGGCATTTCCCATAATATATGTAATCGATAATACCCATAAATCGATAGTGACATTTTCAATACAATATGTAAGAAATTATGGTCGATAACAGAATTTTGTATAAAGTGTGTATGTCGATAACAATTTGTTTTATGATAAATGTTATCGATAAATAATGTGCAATAACCCCAAATCTATAAAAGATTTGTACGATAACAAAAATTCCGATAAAAATTACTTTGATTATCATGTAATCGATAGAATATCTGATCGATACCAATATGTTCTATATAGTATTTGGAAAATTGGTTCGATAACAATATTTTTATAAAGAATAGGGTTTCGATAACAATTTTTTTAAGAAAATTGTTTCGATAACTCTGTTCTTATTATATAATCTGTTCGATAATAATATTTTGCATAGACAATGTTATCGATAACAATTTTTTTAAATAAGTTTTCGATAGATGTAGAAAAAGTCATCGATTTCAATATTTTCCATTAAAAATGATTATTTTTTTTTTGTGGCTCACCCTCAATTCCTTTTCCGTATTTTCGGGACTAGCTTTTTTCTTGCGCTGTTTCTTCATCGTGGTGACGGCCTTCTGGAACGATTCCATGCGCACCTTGTGCTGTTGCAGAAATTTCTTCTGTTCGTGTTGGACGACTTTTGTATCCTTTTCCAAATTGGTTTCTAATGGCACTAATAGATCCACATAAAAGGCTTTGAGCTGAACACATGAATGAATGAAGAGACGATATGGGTGAGAGGGAAGAGAGAGCGGGGAGAGAGGAAGAGAAAAATGAAAACCAAGAACAAATAGAAAATAAAAGCAAATTGATGTAGAAATTCTCGACATATTTTTGTTGTTTGGAAAACTTTCCCCTTCCCAAATACGTTCAACAATATAAGACTGGTCGGATCGGTTGGGTTGAATGGTTGTCTGTCCGTCTGTCAGTCTATCGGTATGTATGTTTGGTTGTCTGTTTAGAAATACTTACAATGTTCATTTGCTGTTCTTGGATTTCTTTGTAGACACTGACAACGCTGAGCAGAGCCGCACCTGTAAATGGAAAATAATCAAGAAATCGAATCAGCAATCGTAGATTGATGTTAGAAAGACAGGTGGGAGGAGTAGAAGGAGGAGAAGAAGAATGGATTGGACAGGAGTTTGGAAAAAAACATATTCTTTTAAAGGGAAATTGAAGAGAGAGAGAGAGAGAGACAATAAAGAAAATGACTCTCTTAAGCGAGATTGAGGTTGTTTATAATAGGAGGATAAATATCAGGGTAAAAAATTCTTAAAGGAAGTTTGAAGAGAGAGAGAGGGAGAGAAGCTCTCCTCAAGAGAGATTGAGGGTTCTCTATTAAAAAATATCATTTAAAGTAAAGTAAAAAATGCTCTCTTAAGAGAGATTGAGGGCCTCTCTATAAGGAGGACAAATATCAGACTAAAAAAATTATTGGAGGAAATTTGAAGAGAGAGAGAAAAGCTCTTATTGAAGAGAGATTGAGGGTCTCTCTATTAATAGGTTAATTTAATATTGATTAAATAATAATAATTTTTAATATAATTTTTGTAGAATAGAATTTATTTTTTTTAGAATAGGGTTCCAAAGAGTAGATTTATAGCTCCCTATTTTCAGAATATAACCCGATCACAAAATACATTTTTTTTGTTTTCAAAAAAAATTGCTTACCTATATCTCCAGTTCCACTGTGTTGAGCATTCATGGCAATTTTCGCTAAAGCTTCATTGAATACGCGCGCTGATGTTGCAGCACCTGCATAATAAAAATTAGAAGAAAAAGAAGAAGACAAGAAGAAAAAAACATGAGGCAATGTATTAGTGGTTGTTGTTTTTGTTGTTGTTGCAATAGATGTTACTCAGATGGCTATTAAATTTTTTACGAACTAATGATTGGTGTTACAACGAATGAAATATGGCCCGTTCGGACGTTTAAAAAATAATTAACGGGCAATATGGAAGCCAAGAGAGGGAGGAGGATATTTTTTTTTGTTCACAAAAATTTACATAAATATTATTTTTAATTTTCAAATCAATGATCTCATCAAACTTACCATGTAATGATTTTAGATAACCTTTGCCAGCGGTGATTAATTGTCGGGCGCCAGGATTGAATTTCTCCAAGATGTTCTGGAAAGAAAATAGAAAACAAATAATAAAAATTAAAAAACAAATAACAAAATTAGGTAAGGCATTTTATTCTGAGTTATATAATTTTTTTTTTTTATATTTTTTTTTTATTTTTTTTTATTTTAATTTTTTTATTGAAATCACAAACCCTTTTTATAATCGATATTTCTGATATCAATATAGCGATTTATTATTTATTTATAGTTTATTGTATTAAATTATTCGCTTAAATAATAATCAGCATTGGAATTTAACTGTAACGTAATGTGAAACTAAAGACTTGGAATATAAAAAACAACAAACAAACAAAACAAAAAATAATACAAAACATGTAATCGATAAATATCGCCACTTGAGACAAATGCAATTATGTGGAAAACGGTATTTAAGGTGACATGGATCAGTTACATGTAGGTGGCCTAATTCATTGAATGTAACGGGGTAATATATATAATTATATATATATTATAATGAATATTATTTTACAAGTTTACAATGGATGAAAGTGGAATGTGTGGAATTCCTTGTGCCTCTAAGTTACTTGTTGAGTAGGTATATAAAAAAAGACAGTAAAATAGTAAAATTTAATAAAAAACTAGCAATATATAAAACGAATAACAATTTTCTCTTATTAAATGCTATCGATAACAGCATTTTCTATTGAATTTGTCATCGAAAATTACGTTTTATATAAAACATGTTGTCGATAACAATATATACACTTTGAGATTTGTCGATAACAGCATTTCTTGTAAATAAAGAGTTACATAAATATATAGTCTCTAATAAAATGTAATCGATAACTAAAAAATCTTTTCGCTACTATATTTTTTTGTAGAAAATAAATTCGATAACAAGACATTTTTCATAAAATGCTAGATTCCAATTGAATATGTTATCGATAACAAAATTTTTTATAACCAATTTCATCCATATTTTTCCTTGACAAACAATTTCGATTGTAAAATTTTATGTATATAAAGTTTTTCGATAACTACATTTCTATAGAATATTTGAACAATAGCTATTAGTTCTAAAGGAAATGTAATCGATAACTAAATTATCTACCTTATCAATGAAATGTTTCATCGACAATGACATATTATTTAAAAAAATGTAATCGATAACAGTATTTGCCACTGAAAATGTTTTCGATAACAAAAAAATTTTTTTAGAAAACTTGTTCGATATTTATATTTTTTTATAAAATATGCTGTACTGTTTTATACACAAAATGTAATCGATAAGTAGAAAATATTTTCGATAACTAGCATTTTTTGTAGTAAATATTTTTGATAACAAAAAATTTTACATAAAGTTTGATCGATAACAATATATTCTATAAAAAAGTAATCCATAAAAAAATATATTTTTTTCGATTACTTGTTTTTTAGAGAATGTATTCGATAACCATTTTCTAAAAAAAATGTATACGATAGAAACATTTTGTATACAATATATTGTCGATACAAATACAAAAAATGCAATCGATAACAATATTTTCTGTTGAAATATTGTTCGATAAAAATATGTTTTATGTAAAAAGTGTTCGATATCCACATTGCATTTAAAAAATGAAGTTCGATTACCATAATTTCTATAAAGAAATATAATCGATAACAAATTTTTTTTTATGTTTTTGTTAAAAATATGTTCGATAACATTAGTTTTTATACAATATGTAATCGATAACACCATTTTCTTTAGAATATGTGATCTATAACAAAAGTGCATATAGTATGTATATAGAATTTTCGATATAATATGTAATCGATAACAACAATTTTTGAAGAATATGTGATCGATAACAATATTTTCTATAGAATGTTTGATCGATAACACAATTTTCTTTAGAATATGTGATCGATAACAAAAGTATATACAGTGTAATCGGTAACAACATTTTCTATTGAAATACTGCTCGATAAAAATATGTTTTATATAAAAAGTGTTCGATATCCACATTGTATTTAAAAAATGAAGTTCGATTACCATAATTTCTAAAAAAAATATAATCGATAACAACATTTTTTATGTTTTTGTTAAAAATATGTTCGATAACATTAGTTTCTAATCGATAACACCATTTTCTTTAGAATATTTGATCGATAACAAAAGTGTATATAGAATATTTGATCGATAACATCATTTTCGATATGATAAGTGATCGTTAACAACAATTTCTGAAGAATATGTGATCGATAACAATATTTTCGATATAAGGTTTAATCGCTAAAAAAATTTTCAATATGATATGTGATCGATAACAACATTTTCTATAGAGAATGAGATCGATATAATGTAATCGATAAGTTTATATTATAATAAAAATCGATGATAATAATTTCTACATAGAATATGATCGATAACAACATTTTAAAAAGATTTTATACAATAATTTATACAAAAAGATTGATCGATAACAACATTTTCTATCGATTTTGTGATCGATAACAACATTTTCCATCGTTTATGTGATCGATAACAACAGTTTCTATAGTACATGTTATCGACAGAAATATTTTCTATCGAATATGTTATGGAGAATATTTTTTTCTAGATAATATGTAATCGATAACTACATTTCCTGGAGAATAACAGATCGATAATAATATTTCCTATGGATATAAAAGTTTCTATATAATAATTGAATCAATAACTAATAACTAATTTATTGGTCTATTCCAGAACTTGTAAGAATGTTAAATTTTTTACCACGATAACCATTTTACCTTTATGATATCGGAAAAAAATAGTAAAAATTTGTAGAATCTTGCAGTACGGGAGCAGACCATTTACGCTTTCTTAAACCAGCTTTCTATCAAAAATTTTCATGAAAAATTCTATAGAGAATATATTTGATTTTTCGATAATATTTTCTATTTATTCTATAAAACATCGGCAACATGTTCCATAACAATATATTTTATAACAAAGGTTACGTATTAATTAAATATTAACTAAACCTTCATATATTAATATATTCGAATATTTGCAAAATTATTTTCAAAATTCCATTGCCTCCCTCCAAAAAAAAAAAAACTCTCTATAACTTCGTTGATATTCCGCACCAGACAATTAGTCAACTGTCATGTTTATTAAATTGTCACGAGTGCCTCTGATGTTGTTATTGTTGTTGTTTTTTATTTACGAGCCATACAAAACGATAATTGTACGCTGTTGTGCATACAACGAATTGACAATTAGACAGCAGCAGCAGCAACAACAACAACAAAAAATATTCCAAATGCGAAGATAAACAACCTTGAAACATTAACTTAAACAGCCCCAAAGTGGACAAATCCGAGATTCAATATCAGAATTTGTTTTTATGCTAAAACAAAATTTAAATAATTCCCACGCCTTGAGGGGCGGTTATTGAGAAGTTCGAAAAAAATTCCTCTCCTCGATTATATGAACCTAAAAAAAAATATTTGAATTGAAATCAGAAAAGTAAACAAAAAATCCGAACCAAAACCATAAACTTGCCTATAGAATTTCATGATTCACTCCAAACAAAAAAGTGAATCGATTGTTGGGTTTTTGAGAATGAAAAACAACAAAATCAAAACAAATTCCAAAACTCAACACATCTCAAAACCACAAATAACAATAATAAATAAAAAAATTTAGCACTTAAATGCTAATCAGCCGGTTGGTAGATAGGTATTCATACAAAAATTAAATACTCATTTCAATGAAAGCGAAGTATAGAACCTCGTTATGGGGTCTCTGAAAAGAAGATTTGTTTGTGTTTTAAAGCCTCGTTTGTTTGCATAAAACAAAATATTTAAAATAAACATTTTTAAAATTGTTTAAAAAAAATAAATACCTACCTCCCTCCCACGCACACACAATGAAGTTCCATTGTTGTACCTGTCTCTTCGAGTTACAACCAAAAACAAATTCCTCACATCGTATTTTACAATTAAACGAGTTTTAATTTTGTTTAGAGGTGGTTTGACATGCAAGTATTATTTTTTTGAACACCATGTTTTTTTATGGTTCGCAAAAGGTTATCTAAGCGGCCAATCCCCGTTTTTTTTTAATTTTTCTCTTTCATTTGTTAATCAAGTGTTTAATTGTCAATGATGTCATTCATTCACAATGTACACGAGCATTATTTATTTAATGCAAAGAAATAATTTAATTATCATAAAAAGAGATTGAATGATTTCCTGACGTATTAAATGTTAAATGAATGCATGCACAGTTTTGCTTTTTTTTGCAATAATTTCTAAAAATATTTTACAGATACATTTTTATGAATCATTTTTTTTTTTCACTGGGTGTGATGGTAATTAATGATGCTGGTGATGGATAACATGGCGGAGAAAGAAAGTTAAATGATTAATTAAAGGCAAGTAAAAATGTCGTTAAGTTTGGTCCTGGGAGAGGCCGTTTAATAAAGGCGATACCAAAACGTGGACCTACGTTGATAATTTTTGGTATGGAGATTTCTTACACAATGAGAACCCAAAATACCAAATTACAGCAAATTTGGTTGAAAAACGTAGCCAATATCTTCAAAATATCGAAATTCGGAAGGTAACCTTATATGTGGGCTATACCAAAACGTGGATCGATTTGGATAATTTTCGGTAGGAACATTTGCTACTCGATGAGAACCCAAAATACCAAATTACATCCAATTCCGTTGAAAAACATTGCCAAGATCTCCAAAATATTGAAATTCGGAAGGTAGTGTTAGATGGGGACTACTACATAACTTGGGCCAATATAGATAATTTTTGGTAGGAAAAGTTCATACCCAAAGAGAACCTAAATTATCAAATTACAGTCCATTCGGTTGGAAAACGTAGCCAAGATCTCCAAAATATCGAAATTCGGAAGGTACCCTTATATGGGCGCTATACCAAAACATGGATAGATTTTGTATAATTTTAGGTAGGAACATTTGCTACTCGATGAGAACTCAAAATACCAAATTACAGACAATTCGGTTGAAAAACGTAGCCAATGCCTCCATAATATCGAAA